GGCGGCTCGGGGGGACGGGGACGAGCGGAGGCAGGGGGCGGGAGGAGGCAGGACGCGCTCCCGGCAGGGCGGCCACCGCCCCCGACGTGTCCCCCCCGCGCCGCCCCCAGCGTGTCTCCCCTCCTATCCGCGTCCCCTCCCCGCCCGCGGTGTGTCCCCACGCCATCCCCGGTGTGTCCGCGTCGCCGCTCTCGGTGTCCCCCATCCGGCCGCCCCCGCCCCTCCCCGTGTTTCCAGGTTCGTCCCGCGGTGTCCCCCGGAGCACGCCAGGCTCAGCGGGGAAGCCTTCCCGCTGTCCGCAAGCCCTCCCGACCCCGCTCGGGTTCAGGAGGACGGGCAGCCGGAGCGGGCACCGAGGCGCTCTCTGTGCCGGGGAAAGCCGCGGGGCGCCCGCAGTTCCGCAGCCGAGTGCCACCGGCCCGAAAATAATGTGGAAGAGCCGTGGGAAGCCCCACGTCTCCCGGAGCGGGGATTATCAGTGCAAGTCCGCGCATTCCCAAGAAGGGAGTACCGCTTCTCCTACTCCCCAAAAGTATACGGCCGCCCGGGAAGAGGCATCTACCGAGCCTGCCGGCAGCATCCCTCCCACTGCCCCCCCTGCTTCCTCGACTTATCCGAGGAACACCTTCTCGGGCTGCGAACGGCAAAGAGACGGGGACCGCTGCTAAGAAAAGCCGGGAGAGCCGGCTTCTAGCAGAGGGAATTGCCTTGAGAAGTTACCAAAAACTGGTAGCCACAGAGCTTTCAAAAGTGATGTTTTAAAGCCTGGTAAAGCTTAAATAAGCTGATCGCTTCTCTCGACTTTACAGATTAAAGTTTTAATAGGATATGGCAATAGACCGTATCGACTCTTAAGGCAAAGGCAAAGCAAAGCAGTTCTCTCGGGCAGCCAGTCCCCTTTACCATTCCCCTGCAGTGTCAGGCAACACAAGGGAAGGAAAAAATATACTTTTATTCAGAGCTACCTTATAATCATCCATCGATTTCTCTCATCAGGACAGGCAGGGTAAAGGAGACAGGGCAAGGTTTATAAAATGAAACAAGGTACATATTAAAAATGAGTGTCTGAAGATGAAAACTGGTAATGCAGGAAAAGAAACTATAGGTACTGGAGACCAAGTCTGGTTTCAGAACCCACTGGAGAAATGTGCCAATACATTTACATCAGCCTCTATTTGGACTCACCCCAAGCCCACATGCAACACAATTTAAAATAAATGTGTGGATCACCTTGTCAGTGTTTGCACATGGGATAAAAACAACTCCTTTTGCCAGGTAAGTGCAGATGGAAAAAAATCAGACTGTGCTTTCTGGAAATACTGTAGTAATTTGGACTATACCTGAGTGCATCCTCTGGCAGAAACAATTTTGTCACCTCACCAGTGAAATTATCACTAGAGAAGTGAATGTCTGACCTTGCACAGTATCAGGTTGAAAAACTGCTTTGGGGGCTAAATATTTCCTTCACTGAAACACAAAACCAAATGTATCAGAAACAAAAATTTAAATAGGCTATTTCATTTGTAAGGACTGTAGAATGATCATCCTAGTCCAACTGCCTGACCAGTTCAGGGCTGAGCAGAAATTAAACCATGTTGTTAAAGGCATTCTCCAAATGCCTCTTAAACACTGACAAGCTTGGATGGACATTGACCACCTCTCTAGGAAGCCTGTTTGTGTTTGAATGCCTGCTTAGTAAAGAAATGCTTCTGAATGTCCAGTCTAAACCTCCTCTGGCGCATCTCTGAACCATTCCCACACATCTTATCACTTGAGTCCCAAGGGGAAGAGATCAGCAGTTCTCTATCCTCTTGCCCTCCTTGGGAAGCATGAGAAAGGGATGATGTTTTCCTCTCAGTCTCCTTTGCTCCAAACTAGACAAGCCCAAAGCCCTCAGCCTCTCCTCAGAGGACACGCCTTGCAGCCCTTTCACCAGCTCTGAGGTATGCTTCTGGATGCATTCAAGGACCTCCACATCCTCCTTAAATTGTGGGGCCCAGAACTAAATGGAGAACTCAAAGCGAGGCTGCACCTATACTCAGTTTGGAAAGTCAAGTGTTCAAGTACCAAATCCTATCTTTTGGAACTCACCTGTGCTGTAAGGGCAGCTTCTCTTGCAATACCACTCATGGTACTCCTAATTTTGTCTATAGACAGGAAAGGGAAGTGGAGAGGAAGCTGTTGTCCCCTGACAAGCCACCCTTTTCTCAACATGGATTGAGGGCAGGTTCAGTACTAGTCTCCCACAGCCTCTCCACCACTCCACAGTAACACAAAGTGTTCTCCTGGTCTTTACTGGGGAGGAGTTGAATAAAGCACAGAGAGATATCATCAGAGGTGATACTGTAGTGAAGGAACTTTCCCCACACTGGCTGTTCATGTGTCCAGAGGGAACAGTGGCTGCTCAGTTCATACATTCACTGTTAAATTTTGGCCTGGCAGTGAGGCAGTTCATACCAATGAATGGCTCTGTGGTTCCTTACCCGTATGAGATGACTACGATATCCTAACTCTCGTTGTTTAAATGAAATTATGCTCAGTTCTGCATTGCACCTAGCTACAATGACACAGGTGAGACAAAAAAAATGCAGCAAATTGGTGTCTTCCTAAGGGCATAGATTTTTTATAATGGCTTCTTGGACAAAAATGATAAAGACCTCTATAAAATGTTTAATGGAAAATTTGCCTTAATTAGAGTCTAATGCAACCATCAGGTCTAACAGGGAAGAACTGTGTAGCGTTGTATCCATTCCCCATTCCATGACCCTGAGCACAGCTGAGCAGTACTGCTGAAAGGCACAGTACAGCCTGCTTATGCAGCAAAATTTGAGGCCAGCACTGTACTTGGCTAGAAGAAAAGAGATCACTTCATCACTGACACAAACTCTGCACAAGCAGACACAAAGAATAATTTAAAATAGCTTTCCTTTATGAAAATGAAGATCTGATGGGGCACACAGCTAGGAAAAGTTGCAAAAGTATGGTCTCTACCAGTACAGAGGAAAAATGTGACCATCACCCAGTATTCATACATGAAATAAACCATGGTTATGATATTCTTCTTAGAAGATGCTCTCATATCTTTCACAGCATTTACTTTTTGAACAACATTTCCTAATTGGGGAAGTGAACACAAGAGTATAGCCAAAGATACTGTGTGCAATTAATTTAATAGCATTACAGAACAACAAATCCACACCTTTAGAACTTGATTAATCAATGTGTTTCTTAAACCAAAGAGAAATCCAGACTTAAATAAAACAAAATCTTTCACAGCAGCAAGTTTGAAAGCAGAACACATTACATGTTTTAGATTGGTGTTGTTAACTGTTTCAGTAAATGAAAAATAAGATTGGAAGCTAGTATTTTGGTCAGAAAATAAGAAGTATTTCTTCAAAACAACTATAGCAAATATTCCCTGAGAATTAAGAATCAGCAACAACTATTGCCAAATTGTTTTTTCTGTTACAGTGCAGAAATGTTACAGCACATTCTCACCATTCAAAGATCACACAGCAAGATTAAAGGCCACAGTTTTTATTTACTATGTGCATCTTCTGGATGCACTCATCTTTCAAGAGAAATAAATCTGGAAACAGCTAACCAGGACATGAAGGGAGAGAAGGCAATTGAGGAAAGATTTAATCCATGTGCTGAGTGTGCATGTTCAGAATTCCTAATTTTTCCCCTTGCGCTAGGTTTTCTAAATTTTCCCTTCCAACCAATAGGCTATGGCAGCATTCTGGAATAACCCACTCTGTCTGTCCCCCAAGAAACATGCATATAAAATACACACCTGCCACTAAAATGTTCCACTCAGACAAGCAACTTGTAATCAAAGCAGAAAAGGGAGATACAACAGAAGAGTGGAGGAACTATTGAAGTTGAAATAATCAATTTTAATGCCTAAAATTAGATTTTATGGCCCATGGTACTGCTGAAAGCTGCATGCAGCACAGCTTTATTTAGCATTATTCCTCAGCACACAGAGTTAAAGTGCAGTAAACGGTTTGGATTTGGTACAGCACACTGTCATAAAAAAAGGCAAAATCTATTTTTTGTTATTAATTCAACTCAAAAAGATGTCAGTCCAGGGGCAGTTTGCATTTGACAAAGAAAAATACAGGATCCAATTGGGATCCAAACTGTCATGTTGTAGAAGAAAGTTTCTTCCTGTCCAGCCCTATATACCCCATCAATATATGCATGTTTCCCTGTGGCTACCTGTTAGTTACCTGGCTCTTTCTCCAAGATAGAACAATCATTCTTTCCTTGCAAACTGCAGGTCTTAGCTCAGCTGAATTCTTTCCTTCATTGCTTCAAAGCACCCAGCAGATCTGGCAGTGTCTGCTATTGGTAGATCTATGAGTGCTGCAGAGAAGGTTAGAGCATTTATTAACACCGCACTATGAAAACCTGACCAGAGATCTGCAAAGACCCAACCCGCAAAGAGTCTTTTGATTGTAGTGGGAGTTGAGACAGGCTAACAGCAGAAAGGAGACAGTTTTAAGAAGGTAAAAAAAATGGCTAACAGGAAATGAGGAAAGAAGGCTATGAATGCAGGAGTACTATCACAGTTTGATCCTAAAACACTGTTCAGAGGTGTGTGGAGAAACGTAACGTCTGAACATGTCTACTTGCCCCAGAAAACTTAGATGGAAGTACCAGCATGTGGGCTGAGTGGTCAAACTGGGTGCAAAGTATTCAACATACCTAGAATATGTTGTGC